GGCCTCAGATTTTAGTTTAAAAACTTGAGCTTTTTTATTAAAAACAATCTTTGTCAAAGTATTTCTATTTATGTATTGTTAATCTGATGGCTTTATTGTGTGAATGTTTATGAAACATTCACACTATTGTGATCCATTTTTCTTCCATATGTTTTTCCACATCTTTTTCGTTCCACAATTTTTGTGCTATTTCAACAAATCATATCAAAATGTTCAGCTCTTTCAAGATAATCTTGCTATGACTTTTGGTATTGGTGCAACTTTAGCTTTTTCAAACATTTAGCCTTTTCTGCCATTATTTTCCTGATAGAAAATGATTTGAGATCATTTTACATCCTTCATATCTTTAGATCTATTTACAACCTTTTACTGCTCCTTTCACATTTTGTTCTGATTCAGCTTTTTCAGCTACTTTCAGCTGTTTTTTCAGCTGTTTTGTGATCCTTTTTTATTATTTCTGCATGCTAACTACAACATTGTTGTGCTTTTCTTAACTTATTTTTGCTAATTTCAGCTTGTTATGCTCCTTTCAGCTTATTTCTGTGTTTCTTATTTGTCTGTTTCAACTACTATTTAGCTGTTTTATGCTAATTTTAGTTTTTTTCAGCTAATTCCATGTTTTGCCTCATTTCAACTTTTTCAGCCTAAATCCGCAAAAACCTGCTCTCTCCACTTCCTTCTGTTGATTTAAGCTTCTTTCCGAAATTTTTTATCAAATTTTTGGCTCTTTTTCTTTTACTTTTTTTTTCTAAGTTCAGCGTTTTTCAAATAATATCCACTTTTTAGTGCTCTTTTCTGCTTCTTTCAGTTTAATTGGACAAACTTTTTTTGCTTTCTTCTGCTAATTTAAGCTTGTTCTACCTTTTCAGCTACTTTTTAAAAACATTTTCTGCTGATTTCAACTGTCTCCAGATAAATTCAAGTTTTGTGGTAATTTCTGTTGCTTTCAGCCTAATTACATTCTTTCTGCTAATTTCAGCATCTTTCAGCTTTTTTTCCTGCTAGTTTAATCGTTTTCTGCTTTTTCAGCTACTTTTTAGCCGTTTTGTGCTAAATTTAACTTTTTAAAATAATTCCAATTTTTTTTAGCTCATTTCAGCTTCTTCCACTTCCTCCTGGTAGTTTAAGGTTCTTTCTGCCTTTTCAGCTACTTTTCAGCTATTTTTACTAATTTCAGTTTTTTTTTAGCTAATTTCCTAATTTTTGAGATCATTTCTGCTTATTTAAATCTAAGCAAATATGTGTTCTTTCTGCCTTTTTCTGCTAACTTCGGCCTTCTTCAATTTCAGCTACATTTCAGCATATTTTTAGCTAATTTCAGCTGTTCTCAACAAGTTCTTCTGCAATAAGCATTCATTTTTGCAGGAAAAGCAATGTCTCTAGTTTGTAATGTTTTATTTAACCTTTATTTTACCATTCAAGAAGTTAAGGAAGTTTCTTATTTATAGTTGTGGGGGGCGACTGTGGCTGAGTGGTTAGAGCAGTTGTCCTCCAATGCAAGAGTTGGGGGTTCGAATCCACCAGCAGTCACATGCCAAAGTGTCCATGGGCAAGACACTGAACCCCTCATCGCCTCCAGTGTGTGTCCCATTGGTGTATGAATGTGATCTAAAAGCTCTGATTAGTCTCATTAGAATGATTTGTTCAATTAGCTTTGTAGAGATCTAGTAGTGCTGTATGAATGGGTAAATGAGGCACAGATTGTGTTGTAAAGCGCTTTGAGTATCTTGAAATAAGATAGAAAGGCGCTATATAAGTATAGTCCATTTGCCATTTACCATTAATAGTGTTGGCCTATTCAAAAATGATCGTGGTTTAAAAATGTAGTGGTAATAGATCGAAGGTGAAGTAAAGGTTTATATAAAACTGTTTACTTCAATGATTGATACTTTTGAGAATGGAAACTAGCTGTTAGCTCATCTAAAACTAAAACTCGTTCCTACAAACTGACTTGATTCAAATAAAATAAATAATTATGATACATAAACTTTCCACATAATCTCACCTTAAAAAAAATGTGAACTACGTAATATGTATGAACAGTTCATGCAAAGTAGTGGGAACGAGTCAACCAGCTGCAAGGTGAAATCATAGGCATTTTAAATTTATTCAGAAATTATCAGGGTTTGAGAAAGTAGTGTTAATATGTTTTTTAAATAATTTTCACGAACACAACTCACTCAGTGGTTATGCATTCTTGTGCATGTTTTGGTGAATTTAAACAGTTTATCAAGGAAAATGCAGCTTTAAGTTAAACGGAGGTTGTGCACAAAAGCAGGATTTAATTAAAAAGAGAGGAAATAATAATTTGTGTCACTGTCAAAACAAGATGCGTTTTGTGTTGCACAAGCAAAAGCCATGTTTTCCCAGTCCTTGACTCTGTCAGAATGTTTCCAGGACTCTTGTACAGTGGGCACAGTTTACTGCTTCGCTGTCCTGTTTAGCAATGTAGAGAAAAGGTCAGCGATCTAAGGGACACACAGAGCGATGTTTAGCATTTAAAGCAGCAAAGTGTAAACCGCATAGTTGCCGTCAGGCTTTTGACAAACACAAACACAATGACTGAACACAGTGTGCATAATCCAGGTGTTTCCTGTTCAGATACTGTGAATCACAGTCTTTTCCTCTTCTCTTTTCAGCTGGGTTTCCTTTAACGCGCGGTTACCTCCATAACCCTGCAGGAATTGTTTGAATGTCGTCCATGTTGCAGCCAAGAGCTGTGATATTATTACTTTTGTGTTTTTTTCTGATTTCCACATACAATATTAATTATTTAAACTCGGGCAGTCCTGCTTTCTCTCTGCAGAGTCAATGCAGTAGCAACGTTAGCTTCTTTAGACTACACAGTGCAATGTGATGCACAGTTAGCTTTTAATCTGACCTCTATCATCAGAGATTATAGGGACGCCTTAGAAATAGCTGACAGGTGCTGCCAGTCAGGTGCCTCATTACAGCCTGATTGGCAGCACCTGGGACACGAAAAGCTCAAATCAAGAGGCAAAAACAGAAGAAGCTGTTTGTTCATTCAACCTTTATTTATACAGGTTAATCCCATTAAGCCTCTACGACTCATTTCCAAGACCTGATTTTAACAAAGAGTGATGACAACAGTAACAACAACGACAACAATAGACAGTCATAAAAGAGACATACAGATTTTTTTTTTTTACAAATTAAAATAAGATGGCAAAAAATTATTGTAATTTATTATTTATTATTATTATCATTTATTTATTATTTATTATCACATCACATGGCACATGAGGTGGAACGAAATTGTGTACTCAAAGTCCCATTTACACCCAAAAATTGCAATAATATGAAAAATGAAAAAGAAACCATATACGAGGATCTAAGCTCTACGCTAAACAATAATAATATAATATAATACAGTGTATTAAACAGCAGCCTGAACATCTGTTGTGAGCAGATGAATACAGCAGCTTAAAGGCAAGAAATCAGCAGCATGGATAATCAGCAGCAAATAATGACCCAAACACAAATCAACTTACACAAGTTATTTTATAAAATAAAGTGTACAGCATGTACTGAAACATTTAATTGTGAACTTTAGGGGATGTCAGGTTTTATTCAGTGAATCGCTTTCTCAGATTTTGAATTTTAGCAGAGTGGGTGGTGGCTCAGTTGGTAGAGATCTTGTCCCTCAACAAGAAGGTTGCCAGCTCAAATCCTGGCCTGGGACCCCTCTGGGTGGAGTTTGCATGTTCTTTCCGTGCATGCGTGTGGTACTCCAGTTTCCTCCCACAGACCAAAAATATGCATGTTAGGCTGATTGGCAACTCTGAATGGTCTCTAGGTGTGAGTGAGAGAGTGAATGGTTGTTTGTCTCGTTTGTCTCTATGTGTCCCTGTGATGGACTGGAGACCTGTCCAGGGTGTCCCCTGCCTCTCACATAGTGATAGCCAGATTTGGACACCAGTGACTGCTGTAATCCGAAAAGGAAGAAGCAGATAAAGGTAATGGATGGATGGTTCAAGCCTTTGGAGCTGACTAACCAGAGAACACTGAGTTTTATTTTTATTTTATTTTAATTTTCAGGGGCAGCCATTATAGACTTTTATTTTTATAGAAAACACTATTTGACAGTTAGTCTTGAATATCATTACAGGTGAGCGCTGTGAACGAAAACAACAACAAAACAAGCTAACGTGGTGATTTTTATTCTGAAAATAAAAATAATGTAGTAGACAGTTTCTGTTCAGTCCTTCAAGTCTTAATTGTCCACGTCTTTGTTGGAAGATGAGCACAGGAACCATATGTTGGATTATAATTGGCTTTTTAACCATGGGAAGCCTGAGTGGCTTCAAAGCAACAGAACATGTGGTTTGCAGATTCACAAAGACGAAGCTCTGCTGACCTCAGCGTTCCATTTTTACCCCGGTCCAAAAATGTCTTTTGGCCTAAAATAATCATTAGTCATTAATAAAAATAAACATTTTTAGGTCTTAGAGGCTCATTAAGGCCTTAACCAGGCGATTCACAGTCTGAGCGTATGAAGGGTGAATCAGTGTAGCCGGGCCCGTCTGCTTCACCGAGCTGCGTTTGCCACAGGCCAGAGCTTATGAAACAGCGTCATGATGAATGTGGTGGGAAGATGTGAACTATTGTGTGTTTGTTTCTTGGAACTCTGGGGATGAAGGTGCGTGCATCTCTCTGTGTTCTCTGGGTTTCTTGATCAGTTTCTCATGCCGTCTTGTGATTTGTTATGTGAATGAAAGTCACATGGGTGGAGATCAAGGCTGCAGCTGTGAGCCAAAGTTACCAAGGTTGGTGACGTCTGTTTAGATGCAACAAACAAAACATCGCGGCTAAAGTTTGCAGCTATATCGCTCTGTCCTCCAATAAATCCCAGCTGGTTTCATTCTCACCTCATTTCTTTTCATTCTCACTTGAGTCTGTTGTTTTCTACTCCTCCCACAGCTCTTCTTCACCTCCACTTTCAAACTTGTTTACACTTTTCCTTCTGCCTTTCTCTGCAGGAAATAAAGAAAGAAGGGAAGAGGGCTGGAGGACAGGCGGGCATGCTCAAGTCTGAACTTTCCAACGGCAGGGCCAGCCCTGTGTCAGAGCCCATCGTCCGATCCAGCAAGAAAGGTACTCAGACCTGTCGCTCGCAGTCACATGTTGGACTAAACTGTGATCAGTGGGTAACCTGAAGTCTTCCGGCTCACACTCAGATCCTATTAGTCAAAGGAAGGATTTGGGTCAAGTGTTGTTCACCATTCTGCTGCTGACAGACACTAAGCAAGCACTGAATGCTCAAGGTTTGACTCGGGTCAGAAGTGTAATTATTATTAATTAGCAGTGTTTATGTGTCAAGCTTCTGCAAAATGAAACTGTAACATGTAAAGAATAAGTATGCAAAATGAATTTAATAACGCTCGTTAGTACTTTGATGAATTGATTATGTCAGACGCATGCTTTTTTTTTTCTGACTTCCCCTCAGCGAAGACGGTCACTCTTCTTCCCTCTCCTGCTTTGCTCTTTGTCTTATGAACCTTTTTTGGAGCCCCATTTTGCATATCTTTCAAATTGTAAACTATGGATTTGTTCAGCTGGTCTCTCAGCGCAATTTATCAAATTGTCTCAACAAGAAGACAGGCTGAAGGAGAACCCTCTTACCTCGGAAACATAATTGGATTTATGATAACTGGGTTCTGCTTTTTGGAGTCGGTGGGAATCTGTATTATCGACAAAATGTGGAAACATCAGCAGCTGTTTAAGCTGTCTGGAATGTATGTGTCGGGCTTGGCAACACTCATACTCTGTGCGAACTATCTGTGGACCTGCATCAGAGCTGAGCAGGCAGGCCTGTTGAACTTCTGTCAGTGTTCATGGACAGTTGAAAGGAATAGATCTTGGAGAAGTTGTGAACCTGAATTTGGTGTAAGTAATCAAAATTTGGCTGTTTGGAGTCACCATGAGATGTATTATTGAGACTGTAAAGGCAGACACGGAAATGAACGAGCTCTGCCTGACCCAAAACAATGATGAAATCTGAATCTGGCTCTGGCCTCGGAAGGCTGACTATCTCAATTTCTCCTTGAATGTTATGGAAACACTCTGCTCCTGCCCTGACCCTATCAGACTTGTACTGGCTGATAGACACTGTAACATCTTTATCAGGACTATGGAAACCATCAGGAAGCGTTCATGGACAATCTCACCGTCTTGTCGTCCCCCTATATGTTGCTTTTGTACTGAGGTAGATTTTTTTGCTTCCTTACACTGTGCCCGGTGTCAAGGACATGGTATGAGGAATCTTTTTAATACATTGTCTCCTCATGTTTTCTTCCCCTTTTCTTATCTAAGCGATAAGGGCAGTGCTTCAGCCCTGATGCACTTCCGTCTACCCTTCGAACGGCTGTTCGGAGCGTAATTTTGTTGTACTTAACTGTACAAATGATAATAAAGCTGATTCTGATTTTGATTCTGATGTAAAGACCTATAAGGAAATATCCACACATTACACTCACAGTACTACTTATATACTGTACATCAAATCAACTACTAAGTACTTAACAAACATATTTTCAGACAAAAATACAAAATGACTTTTAAAAAATCCAACGCAAAATCTAAATGATACGAACCACAATCACAAAAAGGCAAAAATTTAAATGCAAAGTTGCTATGAAGATGTATTTATGGGAATAAATGAAAAAAGAAAAGTAACTTCTAAGGCACATGAGAAACACTTTAAAATTGACTGAAAAACGGAATAAAAATGTATTTAAAAAAATAATGAAAATATTTAAATTCTATTCAAATTAAATTCAGAAAATTATATAATTAAAATTGAATGAAATGAAAATTGAAAATTATATATATATATATATATATATATATATATATATTAATAAATTTTGATTCAAAATGACACTAAAGTCGTTTTCACACTAGATAGTCCGGTAGACTCGGTTCGGTTCGGGACCAATATTCATGAACTTTTGTTTACATTTGAGCTGGTGCGTTTGCATTCACACTGCACTGTGCAGTCTAGTCAACCTGTTGAACCAACCTATTCCCCCGCTCGCCTGTGGGGGCGCTGCACCAAGAACTACTGAAAGAAACGACACAAAAACCTCTGAAGACATGTCTTCTTCTTCTTCTGTAAATAAAAATAAAAACGAAGTGGCATCAAGTTTTAGCAGTTTTAGGAGTTATAGTTTGTCATTTTTCAAAAATGGACTTAGCATGAGCAGAAGATGAGACAGAAGACCATGGAGAATATTGATTTTCACACAAGGCAGCTGACGGCTCCATATAAGGTCAGAGCAATGTGTGTTTGTTTACCCTGCAGAGCGGTCCGGTCTGTTTACATTCACACTGTACTGAACCACGCTGGAGTTCGCTTCTACCGGACCGAGACCTAGGTTTTAGCTCGGGCCAGAGTTCACCTTTTTGTTCCGTAACAGAGTTCGATGGTGCATTCACACCTCCCTAAACGAACCGGACTTTCAAGGAAAACCAGCTAGAGTTCGATTAAAGCGGACTAAACAGGGCTAGTGTGAATGCACCCTAAAACTCACTGAATTTTGCAAGTTAATAAACATTTAGATGCATTTTTAAAATAATGAGACATAAAACAACCACAAGGACTTAAAATCACAAACAACAAATAGCAAATAAAGCATCTAAACCAGAACAAGTTAATAATATCAAACAACTACTTGGAGAAAACAAAAAAGAGATTCAAAATGGCATCACAAACAAAGTCTCTGATAAAATAGGCGAGAACTGACCTTTAATAAAATCAAAACTGTTGAGAAATAAGCTGAGCAGGAATAGATGCCCCCCCCCCCCCCCCCAAAGAAGGTGCAAAATGACCACAATTGCACATGGTATACAAAATAAACAAACCTGCACAAAAACATACAAAAAAAAAAAAAGCTGAATCCTGTTTTAAATCAGGGTGTTTCATTCAAATAGTATAAATCTATATTATTTACTAAGCAAATAAATTATATAATAATAAAAAAAGGTAAACTAAAAAAGCGAATACAAATTTTAATATATTTTTGTATTTTCTGAATGCAATGGTCAAAAACGTTTCACATGCTGCACACTGTTATTAAAGTGTGACACCTAGTGGACAGAGGTTGAAACTGCAGGCTCTGATTGACAGGAGTCGAGTTGAGTGGAGGACAAACTGTGAGGCCAGGGGTCAGGTTTAAACTGTCTGTCTTTCTGAAAGGTCAAAGGTCAACAGTCAGTAAACATCTGCTCTCTTACTGTACTGTCTGGATTATGGGTGACTGTATGAGCTTATTATGTCACATTATATAGGATCAAAACTCTATTTCTGTGTGTCTGTTTGTTTGCAACGCAGGAGAACAAATCCGTAAACGCAGATGTAAGGCCGCGTTCAGCTACGCGCCTCAGCATGAGGATGAGCTGGAGCTGAAAGTAGGAGATGTCATTGAGATTATTACAGAGGTGAGATGCGTTTTTCAATCCAGTCCTGTCTTTTAGACTTCTCGTAGAACATCTGTGAGTCCCAAGTTGCGTTTGTTTGCGCAAATCTTTTGTGACTGTGCGTGTATTTTTCTGTTTGAGAGCTTGTGAAAGTATTTTTGTGTATAAATCTGCATTACTTACGTTGAATGTCTGCGTTGGTCAGGTAGAAGAGGGCTGGTGGGAGGGATATCTGAATGGCAAGATCGGGATGTTTCCTTCCAATTTTACCAAAGAGTTCCAGACAGAGTCGGACACGCCTTCTTCGGACACGCCCACATCACAGGACGAGCTACACAACAACCGCACGAGTAAGGCCCAGAAGAAATACACACACAACTACATCAGTTTTGCACTGTGTATTTATTTTGTGTGTGTGTGTGTAGGTAAGGACAGCCCCGGCAGTGAAAGTGATGGAGCTGACAGTCGGTCAGAAACAGAGTCAGAAATCCAGCCCAAAAAGGTAATTACCTAATTTTTTGCTGTATAAGTGACACATTTTTGCATAAATTCGGTACAAGAGGTAACAAAGCTGTGAATAAAGTTCAATAGAGGTATGGAGACAATTAATATTATGAGGGTGGAAATAATTGAAGTGGGTGATGTTATTGATGTTGGATTCAAATGACAGCATACTGATACACTCCTAACCTGAGGGGAGGGGAAACTGAGGTGTTGTCCTCTAAAATTAGAAACTGTTGGCTAAAGCTTGCATAAAGTTTGTTGGATAAATGTGATTTTGTACCAGTCAGGAGAAATTCATTTTTGTCACTATTGAATTTGAAAAGGTGAAAGTGAAAACCAGAGTTTGAGTTCATAAAGTCAATAATAACTTTACTGTACACATTGAATCCTGTACCTCTAATCTTCTTCTGCTTTGTCACAGATTAACCTCCTACAAAAAAATAAAAATAAAAAAGACAAAAGAAAAAGAACCAATTTATTTAGGTCTCCATTAGTGATATGTTCATTCTTAAACATTAACAACGGTTTAATTAAAATTGTGCATGCTTCTTTTGAAATATTTCTAAATTTATTTTAGTGGTTTCAGCTTTATGGATGACTTATTTTACTATTTTAACAACTTTATATAGAACATATGTGTCAAACTCAAGGTCCGGGGTCCAAATGTGGCCCTCGTTGACATCTTATCTGGCCCCCAAGATGAAATGTGAAACGTAAAATACTTCTATCTGTTGATTTTTTTCAGTAATCTTTGATTATGATGTTGAAAGCACAACAAAGAACATCAAATGAGACCAATCAAACTCTTGTTGAAGAACCTGTGACCAAAAAAAGATGTTGGGTATCTGATTTGACTTAATGCAGATTCTGAAATTGGCCCTTAGTTTGAAAAAGGTTTTAATTTTGGCCTCCTTTTGTAAGTGAGTTTGACACCCCTGATATAAAACAAACAAGCAAAACATTTTTTGGTTTTCAACATTTTGGATTTTAAAATTTTTGGCAAAGAGCGTGAAAGCCTTTTTTTTTTAATTTTATTTATTTTTTCAACATATTTACAGAATAAAAGAAGAAATTGTTTAATATTGACGTGTTCTTACATTTTCTGACTCCTTTTTCTGGCACCAAAGTGTGTTTCTGGTTTTTACGAGACTGTTTGAAATGCTGATTATGGGATTTATCATATCACTGAGGACAGTTGCTTGATATTTTTTTTTTTTATTACTGAACAGAACACCCCAGATAATTTTTTTATACAAAATATGAAGAGATTAAGGATCTAGTTTTCACTGCAGTGCACATGCTTTCCTTCAGAAAGGAGCCTCAAAGTAGAACATGATGCAGAAAATACAGTACTGGGTAGTAGGGATGGGGCCGATCCGATCCAGTATTGGTATCGGCCTCCGATACCAGCATAATTTACGTATCGGATTTTTCCGATCCACGCGCTGATATTTCCGATCCATGATGCATGTTGGCTTCAAACTACGGAATAGATTTCCTGAACGGAGGTGTGTCTCATGAACCCAGAGTAATAAGACTCACCTCACATTCAGGAAATCCAGTTCATAGTTTGCAGCCAGCTACAACGTGAGGACTGAGTTAGCAGCACTGTGGCTAACAGCTAACAAACTTTTCATCGAAACATGTCCGCTGTGTGGAAGTATTTTACACTAGAAACACCTCAAAACAAGACAGCATCGTGCAATGTCTGCAGGGCCATAGCGCCACATTAAACCGTGGTAAAGTTAGTTTTACGTTGGACATTCGAGCTCCGTGGCTTCAGCGTGGCGCTGCTCTCGCTGAACCTGAAAGAGACGACTCGACCCCGCCCAGCCCCGTCCAATCTGCCCCGCTCAGTCTGCCCGTCTCCGAGGAGGGACAAACTGAGCGTGGCTGCCCCAAATCACGCTGCCTGCGTCGGATTGAACAAGAAGAAGACATCGCTGAAACCACGGAGCTCAAATGTTTACAGAGAAGTTGCTAAACTTCATCATGATTCATGACCAACCACTATCAGTTGTAGAAAACTAAAGATTTCACAAATTGATACTTGCAGCCAAGATATAGTTTACCCTCCAGGAGATATTTATCAGTACAACAGTAGACAATCATAAAAAAACATGATTTAAAAATTATATGTATTAAAAACAAAAAACAGCTACATTATAAAGTGATGTAAAATACTAAAAACAGGAACATGTCTGTTGGTTTATGCTATGAACTTAGCAGATGTTTGAAGCCATTTAACATTTTATTAATTTAATTCATTTATTCATTCATGTAAAAGAAACAAAATAAAAAAAATAATCAAAAAGAAAACATTGAATGAAAAGAGTGCAGAAAGAAGAAAAAAAAAATCTTATCTGCCCCTTGTTTAAAAAAATATAAAATAACTTTAAACAATCACTTAAATTAATCACTTTAATATCCACTTTAAAGCTAGGAATAAAATGAAACATGTTTTGTGTTAGCAGAATTTAATTCTAACTTTAAAACTTATCCAACATTAATAAAACTTACCTCGAGTTGTCTTTTTGGACATGTATGCATATATTTGTACAAACTGTACTTGAGAGGAGATTATTACAGCTTCATCTAAAATCAATGATGATCATGATATCGGAACTGGATCGGTATCGGCCGATACTCAGTTCTAGGTATCGGGATCGGATCGGAAGTTAAAAAAAAGTGGATCGGTGCATCCCTACTGGGTAGATAACCCTTACAAAGGCACATTAATTCTCATTTAGGGTTTCCAAAAAATAAATAAATAAATAAATAAATTAAAGGTGATTGTTTATATCAAAGTTCATGCTCAATAATCCAGGCGAAAAATCCATCAAAGTTCAGTCATGTCCTCTGGACGGTTTCTTTGTGATGAAACTGAAGAAGTCTTTTGGATGAAAGACGAAATGTTTCAATACAAAGAAACCGTCCAGAGGACCTGACTGAACTTTGATGGATGATCCATTATAGCACGTTTTTCTATAGTTGCTATAAAATCGGCTCAGTTGGTAGAGCTTCTGCCTCCCAGTGAGAAGTTCGCCAGATTGAATCTTGGCCTGAGGCCTTTCTAGGTGGAGTTTGTTTTCTCTGTGCATGCGTGGGTTTTCTCCAGGTACTCCAGTTTCCACCCACAGACCAAAAACATGCATGTTAGACTGACTGGTAACTCTAAATTGTCTCTTAGTGAATGCGTGATAGGTTGTTTGTCTCTATTTGTCCCTGTGATGGACTGGAGATGCCACCTTTCTCACAGTGACTGCTGGATTTGGGGACCAGTGACCCGCATGACCCAGAAAGGAAGAAGCGAGTAAAGATAATGGATTGATGTTTTAAATGCTAAAAAAAACCAACTCATAAGTTAATTAATAAGTCTGCATGCTTCAAGCAGTAGTATTTGGTGTCACAAGCTTCTGCTGCGGTTATTTTGCGAGTTACAACCTGAAGTCTTTGACAGCCACAGTTCTGGAGGATTGCCTCCTGTATGTGCACATGGTGTCATTCGGTTGTTTTTGGTAGCTCTTCAGTAATCTCCTCAAAACCAGTTGTCTCATCGTCACCCATTATAAACATGGTTAACTTTATGTCTTTGCCTTTGGCGCCCCCACATGTCAAAGCCAGAGAAGCATTTATGCTCAGACTGTTTGGACCATAAGTAGAGTTTTATAATCCTACACCTGTGGTGGCCCTATGGTGTAAATGAACAACATTTGAAAAAAAAAAAAAACCACAACAAAAACAACAAAATCACAACAACATTTGAAAAAACGGAATTACATTAAGCCAAAACGGAAGTGGCCGGAATCACATTAGAAAAAACGGAATCACATTAAAAAAAGACGGAAATACATTAAGCCAAACAGGAAATTCTTTTTTTTTTTTTTTACTTTATTAACAGCATAAAACCGAACAACAGAACAATATTCAGTACACACACAATGGAGATACAGTTAGCAGGCTATCCTTTAGCCTGTAGAAACGGTTTTATTCAAGCATAAAGAAGAAATGACGCTGGAAAAACTCGGAAGGATCTTCAAGGTAATGAAGTTTTCCTGACAGACATTCCAGTTTTACATTTAAATTTTACTTGCGCTGCATTATTTATGTTGTTATTAAAATAAAAAAAACTTCCTGTTTGGCTTAATATATTTCCGTTTTTTTCGAATGTAATTCTGTTTTTTCTAACATGATTCGGGCCACTTCCGCTTCGGCCACTTCCGCTTTGGCTTAATGTAATTCCGTTTTTATAAATGTAATTCCATTTTTTCAAATGTTGTTCATTTACACCTTAGGGTCACCGTATACACCAGCAGTAAGACTTTTTTTTTTGTTATAAGGCTGACTGTTCCTTTCTGACAAAAGCAGAACATCAATTACCAATGGATATTTACCAAAAACAGAAGCTAGAGTTTAAATTCAATTCAGTTTATTTAAATAGCACCAATTCACAACAGCAGCAGACTCGTTGAATCTTCACTTCGTCGCAGTCTCCCATCCTGAGCAGCCACAATGGCAACAGTGGAAAGGAAAAACTCCCTTTTAACAGGAAGAAACCTCCAGCAGAACCAGGCTCAGGGTGAGCACATCTGCTTCAACCAGCTGGAGTTTGAGAGGACAGGAAGAGAAACAAACACAGAATGGCAGAGATGGTGCTACTTATGTCCTTTAAGGACCATCCAGTTTCGAAATTGATCAATGCGTCTCGCTAACTTCCGTTTTTTTCTTTAAATGGAATAAAGTCATAACCAAACCCTTATTTTGCAGAAGAGACTTGTTTAGGATTATGCTTGTTTTAGTGTTGCATAATTTGGTCTCTACCTTTCAGGTCCAAGGGTTTGGTTTCGGGAACATCTTTAAAGATCAGCCCATCAAGCTCAGACCTCGCTCCATGGACCTGGACTCAGAGAGGAACAAGGTGAGTCACACGCTCCACTGTTTCTTATGTTCCTATCCCTTCAAAGGACATCCCTATTGACTCATCACCAGTTCTGTGAGATGGTATCTAAGCAAACTTTAACCAGCCTGTCACCTGAGCGTGAACTTTTCCTCTACACTGTTGGAACTCTGTAATTATCCTCAGGAGAAACACATAATTTGGCTTTTGTTTGGTGTTTTGAGCTTACAGATGACTATTTTTTAGACATTTAATTTGAAGTATTTCATAGTTTTAGCTCCCCCCTTTCCTCTGTTTCAGTTTCATGACACAGGAAGTGGTTTTAAGTCAACACACACACTGAACACCCCCCCCCCCCCCCCCCCCCCACACACACACACACACACACACACACACACACACACACACACACACACACACACACACACACACACACACATACTCACAGACATCCTGCAGGGTTTTGACAAGCAAAGCAGAAGTGAGAGCTCTGCAGAGCAGACAGAGGCTGAGAGGAGGACTGGTGATGCAGCTTTTCACATGTTCTCCTGCCGCCTGCACTCATCCAGCAAAGCTTTAATTTATGGGAAAAAAGACGACGGTAGGTTTGTGCTTTCTCCCACTCTTTGTTCATTTATGGCTTTTCTTTTGTCAGTTCTGTTCTTTATTTTGAACATAATCAGCGACAAGAACGTTTTAGCTTTTTCAATAGAGGCAGATTCTGTAAATATTTTCTGCTTAACGTACAAATTAAAGCCATTAATCACCTCAGAGTTAACGATTTTCACCATAGAACTAAAATTTTTCTAAAAAGAAAATAGAAACTGTTAGAATGAAAATGTTTGCTTTAATATGGAACTGATAATGTTTCACTGTGAAGTTTTAGTGGAAAATTTGCTTATTTAAACAGATACATTATAAATAAAGTGCTTTTGCATGTTCATAAGTTTTTTGTGGAAATGACCTTTAAGGGGTCAGGTCATAAAAAGCACATGAAATCAAGTAAACTAGAAACTACTTGTTATATCAGATCAGCTTGGTTTTGTCTTCTGATAAAGAATCAGTTCATTCAAAGTTTATCCAAAACCAGGGTCAAGGTATTTTTATTTATAACTTGAATTAACTTGTCCCTTTTATCTGCACTCATATCTGTTTTCATGACCAAAATGCAAAATAAAAACACCCCTAAAAACGTATTTACCATAAGAGCTTAAACCTCTAAAATGAAATCCCATGACTTCCTGAGAAATTTTACAAAAAACAAGATTTATGCATGACACGCCTGCCAACGAAAAGAATAAACCTGCATTTATGGGAATCAAAAGCTTTTTAAAACCTGTTCATCAGCGTTTTCTGCAGTTGTGTGTGTGTGTGTGTGTGTGTGAGTTTTAGACTCTGAAGGATGTTTGTGCGCCTGTCCTGCTGAGTAGGAGGCTGATGTGCTGCTTTTAGATGAGACGAGTCTTTCTGCTCCCTAATGAGACTCTGGAGGAGGAGACGGGGGGAGTGTCTCCATCCGGCTGAGTCACTGAGCCACATTAACTTTACGGAAGGTCAGCTGCTTGGTGCACAAACAATCTGTGAGCCACAGCTAACAACTGATGGGGTTAATCTGGGTTATTTATGTGTTATTGTTTTCCATCAGCTTTTATGCCAGCGAAAAATAAATATTGGAGAAGAGAATTTCTAAATGTGTTTGTTTCTGTATTGTATGGCAAAAAGTTTAACTGATTACCAAACATTTACTAGAAACCTTTTTGTGTTTTTAAATAAAAAAAATGGTGATTAAGCTTTAGTGAAAGTCATCTAATTAAATGACTGATATTCATTTTGTCTTTAGTTTCATTTAACTTTTAATCAGTTGAGGCTTTATTTGCTCTTTGCTGCTAAATGTTTAGTCATGTTTGTGCTTGATCCCAAACTAGTCACATTTCTGTGTCAGCTGACTGAGAGGTTAGATAAATGGAGAGTTGTTTGTTGTACCATTAATAGACATAAATAGTTTGCTTGTGTTAATCGTCTTAAGACTTTATAGCATCATTTAAGGAGTTGTGAATTTTAGCACATCAAATTGGATGATTCAGAGGTTTTCAACCCATAGGGATTGTTGTGTACCCCATATCAAATTAGCAACATTAGCTTATGATTCTGTTGTTGACAAAGCAGACCACTTCTGTTTTTGGTGAACAATTGCTACAAAAAAATTGAGTATGAGCAAAACAGCAGCTCTTTCATCAAGAAAGCTCGTCAGTGGATGTATTGCCTGTGGCAGCTTAAAGATTTTCACCTGCTACAAATAATGTTCTGGTGCCAAAATGTCCTTACTCACAACACTTATTAAGCCGGGCCTGATAATTATCCTTGTCTTGTTGTATTTTGTGAGAAAGACCGAGATGACATGGTAGGTTACAGTCGATCCACCACTGTTATAACTCTGAGTTAACTAGGGCGGTTGTCATGGAGCTGAGTTGGCAAGTAGGTGTGAAGTGTGGGGGCGATGCAAGCCGTGCTGCATTCTAACCAACAGCATGGTGCAAGGTTTAGCTCCATGCTCAGATAGTATGTAACCAAGAATAGCGACTCCAAGAGCAAGTTTAACAGTTTTTATTTACAAAAAGTGAATCTATATCAACATGAAGTATCAGCAGGGCTGGACTGGGACCCTCGAGAGTAAGGGCCAAAGTTAGTTGAAGGCTTGTTCCTGAAGGATGGTTTTGATGTTCAGTAGTTTTCTTACTGTAAGTAGGCAAAGTTGTCACAGACGCGAAATCCAAAAAGCTTTCAATAGGAAAGGGTGAGGAGATTCCAGGAAGGTCCATACAATCGATGGGCAAGTGGTGGAAGGCAAGGAATGGCTGGAGAGATCACAAGGAGGTTCAGGAGAAACCAGGGAGATCCAAGGCTCCTGAGGAACACAGGAGTCAGAGCTACATCACAGAGAAGTAGAGATTCATTTTCACAATACACAAGGAATAATATAGAAGCCAGGAACACAATTAAATTCTAAATACTTTATTAATCCCAAAGAGAAATTAAATGTTGTTGTAGCTCATCATCCTGGATTCATTAAAGTTGTTCTAGATGCTGATGTCTGTAGGCAGGAAAGATCTCTTGTAACAGTCTGTTTTAGAGCAGATCTGAAGAAACTGGTTGCAGATGTTGATCTATCTACTTGGATTTGGTGGGTTTCTTGGTCTTCTTGGGCAGCAGGACCACCTGAATCTTGGGAAGAACTCCTCCCTGAGCGATGGTCACTCCTCCCAGCAGCTTGTTGAACTTCTCATCATTGCAGACAGCCAGCTGCAGGTGTCTGGGGGATAATCCTGGTCTTCTTAGTCATGAGCCACGTTTCCCACTAGCTCTAGGATCTTAGTGGTCAGGTACTCAAACACCTCCACCAAATAGACAAAGATGCATCCATGGCACCTCCTTTTTAACACATTTGTGATTTGGGGCTGTAGCTGAGCTTTTGAGATGTTAATCAGCTGCTCCCAATTGTAAAAACCACCTTGTTGTCATGGTTACACATCATAACAATGTCCAAAAGCAAAAAGGTTTCAGTAAAAATCCTTCCAGCTGCACAACATCCAATACCAGAGAAAGTAATCATTCAAAAAAAAAAAGTGATTTACATCCAGAAAAAAGAGGAATTTTAAGTTTTCAAAAGGAACATCCCAGAATGAATGTAACAGAGTTACGCCAACATGCAGCCACCTTGAGCGGCGCAATTCTAGAAGTATGCTGTTCTAGAACTAGAACAATTCTTGTTCTGTAACTATAACAATTCAATTTGGTACAATTCAAAGAAACAGTATAACAATCGTAGAACTATAACAACTACCGATTGGTAGATAATGCACCAGCGTCAGACTGGAGTCATTAACTTCCTTAAATACTCCTGTAGCGCATTAGGAGAATGGTCCTTAGGCTTGACCCTGTTGGCACCTTCTTGTGTAGGAAAAGCTGCAGGAGAAGAACTGGAAATCTTACACATAGTAGCCACTTCACTAGTTCCTCAGTACCAGATCATGTGTGTAAGCAAACAAGAGGCACATTCACAATACAGAAAACACACAAAACCAAAATAGGCATAGAGTAGGACTCAGCTGCATTAAAGTGGGACATTACGCATCAATGTGTAATGGACACATCTCTCTTACCATTTTCTCAATACAAAGTTATGTTTTTTGTTGTTTAGGCTTTTAAATCCAGCAGCCGGGTGGTTGCACAGAGTGCGTGTCATCACTACATCACAATGATGAATTGTAAGCCCATCTTATCTTTTCACTGCAACTGTTACGACTCTGTTACTACCTTGCAAGCAGTAGACTTCAGTCTCAGCTTGAAGTCTTTTATGAAGATGGTGTCTTGGGACTTTGCTTTGAATGGTTCATAGGCAAAATTACCAAAGACAGTTTAAAGATGGACTAATCTTTGCAGCCATGTTGTGGAACTATAATGTGAAAAGGGTTATTCAGTCCATCCTCACCTCCTCCATCACTGTCTGCTGCCACAACCAAGGAGCATATCATTTCTTCTACAGAGAAGGTGATTGGTGCAGCCTGCTATAACTGCAGGATCTATGCACTTTTAGGACAGGAAAGTACATAAACTGTTTCTGACTCCGTCTAGCAGGAATTTGCAGGCCAACAGGTTCATAAATCTTATGTAACAAATCAGCTTCTTTTCATATTCCGTTGATCTTTGTTAGTGCTTATTTTTTTCTTAGAAACGACAGAGCACTTGAGTCCCTGAATACAAGACTGTGAGACAATCCAGACATTTGATAATATTTGCACAGTCACTTTGTTTAAGCTTTTCCTTATACAGTATATACATATTTTTTCCATTGATGTATCTGTTTTCCTTAATAAAAAATACAGGTGAAATTTTAGACTCTATTTAAACTATGCTGGAATTGGTACGCTGCATAAGGAATTTAAAATGAGATTTCTGAAGCAGCAACAAAATACTTAACCCTTCTATCAAACTTGAGGAAACAAGGGCTTTAAAATGGAGTT